GGTGGAATTCCCAAAAGCATCTGGCTGGCCAGTGTGGGAAATAGAACAGACCTTAGATTTGATCCAGCAAGACTCTTATTTTATTCTTAGGAGAGTTATAAAATGCATGGTTAACCTATCCTCATTTATACAGAGGGATTAAAATATATATAATTCAGTGATTCCACTACTTTCTCTGCATCTTTGCTACTGAATTATTAAAGCATGCAGGAAGAAAGGAGACTGCAGTTTTCCAGTGCTGATGGGAAGGCAGTCTTTGCACATCCAGAAGAACACCCCACCCCACCCCAATTCAGCCTGTGCTGAAAACAAACTCTTAGGCGAAGTCCTAGTGAAATCTTGGCACACACTGAGCAAGAAGATGTGAAGGTCAAGAGTGGCAGAAACTGACTCTAGTGGGGTAGTCCTGTTAGTATGTTGTGTCAAAACCAAAAAGTAATCTTGTGCCACCATAAAAAATAACACCACCCTATGGGGACTCAGCTAACATCCCTTCATAGATGATGTGACCGATTTTTCACAGCTTCTCAGCTTTCCTCCCCTTTTAAGCATCTTTACACTGTCGTGGGCTTGCTTTTTTGTTTTGGGTAAGTAGAGATATTTTAAAGTATTTTTTTTCTAGTTGAGTACCCTTTGAGAGATGCTAATGTCTCACTTCATTCAATGGGGCTTATTCCCAGGTACTTTGTGTCTCATCTGTATTTAATTTAGTATAGTGCAACTTCAGTGTTCTGGCTAGTTTTTTGGCTGGGGAATCTTTCTGATTCTCCTTGATCATTTTTTTTGTATCATATCCTATTGCAATCTGCATAGCATAAATCATAACTAAAATATATTCTTTAACAACTCTGTCCCGTTCCTTTTGCTGTTTCTTACCTAATGAACAATTATTATTCTATTCATGATATCAAGAAGCCAAGTGATTTGTTATGTTATTTGCTTTGAATGAGGGTCATATGGAGGACTTAGATGGAATCTTTGTCCAGGGGGTCTAGGGTGGGTCTTGGCAGCTGTGTTCCGCGTTGGTGAATCAATACCTAGTGAACAAACTAGCAAGATAACCAATTTGCATTTATCTACAGATGTCTGTTGGCCTTGGAGCAAATATGGATTTTGTGTTAGACATGTGTGAAATGAAGAAGGGTAATTTGGCTATTGTGCCCTCAATAGGGGGTAGTAGTTTAGTGCCAGAGCACCTGAAAGGTAGGAAGGTTCTCAAAGAGTTATAGGGTTGCCAAATCGACTTACCTCGCCGGTGGGGGACTTCCCGGCGTCATGACGTCACTTGCCTGTGACGTGCACACGGGGGTGGGGTTTCCCCCGGGGCCCCATTCTGCAGGGGCGGAAATCGGGCCTCCAAAGCGGGGGGAAATCCGCCCCCCGGGAGGAATTGGCAACCCTAAAGAGTTATGAAAGGCCTCCCTTTTCTTGACATGTTGGAGAGCCAGTGACAGCAGACAGGACTGAGTTAGAGGAACCTGTGGTCTGACTAGCTAAGGCAGCTTCATTTGTAAATTAACCTACCTGTTAAGTCGAAGAATGGGTACAATGAGCCCAGCTGTACTTTGACTGATAATATATAAAATATATAATTCTATATATAGAATATATAATTCTTATAATATATAATATATAAGACCTAATATATAGAATATATTATTATTATTATTATATATGCATATGCAGGTTTATTAATTGATTGATTTCATTTATCCCCTGCTTTTCCGCCCCAATGGAGACCCAAAGCAGTTTATGTTGTTTCGCTCTCCTTCATTTTACTTTACCCCCATGAAAACCCAGTTGGTTAGGCTGAAAGTATGTGACTAGCCCAAGGTCATCCAGGGAGGTTCCATAGTAGTGTACAATTATTATTATTATTTTTTAAAAAAGAGAGAGTGAGGATTCAAACCTGGTCCCTCAGATCATAGTTTGACACTCTAACCATTACACTGTACTGGCTTTCTGTGGTGGTTGATAGCTTGGAGTTTGCCTTGCTTGCAGGGGTCGTTTCGTAGAAAAAGAGCTAGGGGAACTCATTAGCATAACACCCGAAGTGTGTCATAAGGCCACACCCCCCGCCCCCAACGGTCCCGGCCGCCACTGCCGGCCTTGCAGCTCCACTGCCGAGCCCCATGAGGGGCCCGGTGGTGGACCTGCAAGGGTGGCGGGAGTGCGAGGAAGCCCCGCAAAGGCCCTCCCTGGCCCCAGGCAGGCAGGGGTGGGGAGAGGCAGGGAGGAAGCAACTTACCCTCCCTCTTCTCCTGCCTTCTCCTGGCTGAATGAGGGCCGGAAGCGGGGCGGCCGGAAGCAGGGGGCGGGGCTTCGTCATGTGCCCCGCCCCCATACCTCACCTGGGGGAACTGCGATCCCCCGCGATCCCCCCCCGAAATGACCTCTGGTTAATGCACATACTTTTGCCTCGGGTCACTCACTGACGTTAACACTTCTTTGCTTGCAGACAAAGCAGGAGGGGGGAAATACCCTGAGCACAGCCCAGTTAAAATGCACCCAGCTCTGTTCAGTGCTTATTTCATTTGCCCCCGCACAACCTGCATGAGTAAGAGACTGAGACTTGTCCGGGGCCATCTGGTGGGTTTACATAGCTGGTCAGAGAATTACACCTGAACTTCTTGAGTCCAAGCTTACCGCTCCTTCTCTATTGATCCAGTGACAGACACAGATAACATTGCCATTTTCTTCTGGACAGCAGCACTTCGCTTCTGACAACTTCAGGGCAGACAGAAATTAGCAGCTGCAGCAGCATGTCATGCAGCCATTTAAAGCACAGAGACAATGTGGGATTCAGTTTCTCTGATCTGGCCAAAAGACTGTAGCTATGCCCCTCAGAATCGCTTCTGTGCTAAGTGATATCAGTTTACTTATCTAGACCTGACTCTCCCCCATCCGTTAGGAAGATGGGATTTCCCAGGCTGGAGGCAGTCATCTCTCTCCCGGTTGGAGCATGCCTGTCTGACGGTTGGGGCGGTACAGTGCACTCCACCACTGCTCCATTGCTGCCCCCCAGGGAGCTAGTACAACTAACAGGCAAGTGGGCAAAAGTCTGATCCCTCCAGATCTTAGCAGGAGGAGGTTTGGGTTTGACTGATGTTTGGGTGGGAGGGGCTACATTCATGCAGTCAGTGGGCTGCTCTCCTTAACACTGAAGGTAGTTGTGTATTTACTCCAACAAGCAATGCCATGTTTGTGTTGAGCACATGTGCTTTTGTATGTGTCAAAGGCTTGCAGGAAGATCATAGTCCACCCCCACACTCCCCACCCCGGTTTGATGGATCAGCTTTTCCTTGGGCAGAAGCTACTTCACTCAGGAGAACTTCTAGCCAGGAAACCCCTGGAGGAGATCCTTCACAATTCATCTAATTGAGACATGCCAAGTCAGAACTAATTACACCTAAAACATCCCATGCAGATGATGTGTTTATTTAAAAACACCAAACGCAGGGGAACTTGCCATGCATGCTTGTTCTCTTGTCTATCTTTGTTGTTAAAAAAACCCTCATATGCGTTGGTTTGGGCCCCTTATACTAAAAGCTGTTGCTATTTAGGTTCAAATTACACATCTGTAGTTCCAGTCACAGAAGAACAAGGTCACGGGAAAGAAGTGGAAAGAAGGACCAAATAACTCATCTGGAATTCCACTGCAGTCTCCAGCTCCAAATGTCGGTTAGCCCTCAGAGCTTTCCAGGATAGTAAGATTAAATTTAAGAAAGGGTTAACTGACCTGTTTGTCATTACATGTCACATAACCTGCCTTATGCTGAAATAGGCACTTGGGCTGTTAAGGTCAGCATTGTTTAATTTGACTGGCAGTGGCGCTCCAGTGTCTCAGGCAGAGGTTTTTGACCTCACCTACTTATCCTTTTCAACTGAAAAACCTGGGGGTTGAACCTGGGAGCTTATGCATGCAAAGCTGCAAACCACTGAGCTACAGCCTTGTCATACAAGTTGAAGCCCCTCAAATTCTATATAGGGCAGCAAGTCCTCTGCTATTCAGCCCACGCAAGCCCACATACTTGCTCAGTGGATTTTCTTATCAATGCTGTGGTCTTATCATAGAGACACCCTCTATCTGGTGGTTTTTCTGGTGAATCTCTACTTCTGAAACATCATAATTCCAGAGGAGTGGCCACGTTGGTTTGTTGCAACAAAAATCATTAGGAGTCTTATAGCACCTTAAGGACTGACCATTTTTCTATCACCACTACTGTTCCATCTTAACCTGGCCCTGGTGGAGGGAACATCAGTTTCCGGGAGCAGATGATGCCGAGTAGATAGAGCAGAGGCAATAGAGCACAATACACCATCTTGGGAAATATCATGTTGAACATCGAGAGCACTTTGTTAATAACTTGTTAATAATGTTATTGGATCATAGCAATTTTAAATGGTTTTATGTATGTTTTATATTGACGTATGCCTCCTGTAAGCCACCCTGAGCCCGCGTAGCGGGGAGGGCGGGGTATAAATTGAATAAAATAAATAAATAAATAGCAAAAGTTTTTGTGGACTAGACCCCATTTCAGAATTCAAAGCAAAACTCAAAAGTTTCAGCTATTGCCTTTGGTTGTCACAGGAGAAAGTTTGGGCAAACCCCCCTACTAAAGCATGTCTTTTGCAATCAGATCCCAAAATTTAAAAAAAACAAACAGGGGTGTGTGAGAGTAAAAATTAATTAAAAAGCCAACTTTTAAAACAACCCCGTCATTTGAATATTTTCTTTAAATCTAAAGTGCTAGCTCATAGTTCTAGAATAACCAGCTCATCCATCACTCCCGTCCTGCATATAACATCCAAAGCCACTTGCAGCCATACGGTCTCCGTCCACACGTTGCTGCATACAACCAGGCACAACAACTGCATGCATACTACATTGCATAAACTATCCCCCCCCACTCCCCAAATAAACACCATAGCAACTGAGAACAGTTTGGATCTATTTGTATTGAATCTGGGGAAGGGCAAATGAAACACCCACATGCCAGATGCAAGAGGACCCCACCCATGCGCCTTTCTCTCCTCGTTACGTGTTGGTGGTGGTGAGTCGTTGAGATCAAGATGTACATTAACACAGCAATGTTCTCTCATACCCACTTTGCAAACTGTCCTGGTTCATCCCATACCAGAGAGAAAAGTGTCAGTGCTTCAGGCTGCTGGCATGGGTATTGGTTGCAAGCTGGATTAAACTGATACGTGGAATACTGCAGAGGAGAGCTTCCATGAGCCAATGCTCATGTTCTAAATCTAAAAAATTGGCATACTGTGGTGTACAAGATACATACTATTGTGCAGGGCACTTTTTGTCGAGAAAGCCCAGCAGGAACTCATTAGCATAATAGGCCACACCCAACACCAGGAACTCATTAGCGTATTAGTCCACACCCCTGATAGCACAGCTCATTAGCATATTAGGCCACACCCCCATGTTACCAGAAGTGTTGTCATCCAGCCACACCCACCTTTTCCTTGTTATTCTGTTTACCTTGTTTGTTGTCAAAACCCAGGGCTTTTTTGTAGCAGGAACCCCTTTGCATGTTAGGCCACACACCCCTAATGTAGCCAATCCTAATGAGTTTCTGCTGCTGGGTGTGGCCTGTTATGCTAATGAGTTCCTGCTGGGAGTGGTCAACTTGGAAGCCAGCTGGAACTCCGTTCCTGTGCGTTCCTGCCCCAAAATAGCTCTGCTATTGTGCCTGGAGAAAATAATGATTTAGACTCTTCTGTGAGCGCCGGTGTGGTTTAGTGGTTAAGAATGGCAGACTCTGATCTGGAGAACTGGGTTTGAGCCTCCACTACTCCACATGAAGCCAGCTGGGTGACCTTGGATCAGTCACAGTTCTCTCAGAGCTCTCTCAGCCCCACCTACCTCCCAGGGTGTCTGTTGTGGGGAGAGGAAGGGAAAGCGATTGTAAGCCGCTTTGAGACTCCTTCAGGTAGAGAAAAGCAGGGTATAAATACCAACTCCTCCTCCTCCTCCTCCTTCTCACTAGAGCACATATTTTGTAAAAACTTTGTTCAGCTGCCTAAGGCCCCGTTCACTTGGCGAATTTGCCGCGGGAGAGCCACGATTGAATGGCGGAGTTTCCGGGCGCGATCACACCACAACATCTGGCAAGTGGAGCGCTCCCGTGGCCAACCCGTGACGTACCGCCGAAAATGCGCAATAAAAAAATTCCTGGTCAAAGGTACCAGCAACCACACCAGTGCGCCGCTTTCCCCTCCAGCCCCTCGTTGACGCACAGACGCGGAGGGAAGGAACCGTGGCGTGCCGCCGACGCATGGGATCTTATTCTGGCGCATTAAATTGCAGCAGCGCAAATAGCCACGCCTCCCCCCCACATTATCTGGTCCGTGTGACCGGGGCCTAAATGGTTTGAGGCTGGGGTCCTCCCCTACCTGTTAAAGGCCTCTTCCCACATGCTGTCTCTGTGGCTCTGCCTTTAGAAGTGAGTAACTTGACAACCAGAGACGGGGCTTTGTCAGTGGCGGCATCTTTAGAATGGCCTCACCTTGAGGCTCAACTGGCCCCTGGGAGCAAGTTGCAAACCCATCCGGAGAGACATTCTGGGCTCCTTCCTATTGTATTCCTGTAACAGCAGAGCAATTGTGGAGCGTTAACAGCAGTTCTTTGTTAACTGTGTTTGCTTTTTGCCCTGGCAGGTGGTGACGGAGAACATGCGGAGGAAATGCAAGTGCCATGGCACCTCAGGGAGCTGTCAGCTGAAGACATGCTGGCAGGTGACCCCCGAGTTCCGGCTAGTGGGCTCACTGCTCAAAGAGCGCTTCTCTGGGGCCATGATGATCCGGCCCCACAACAGGAACACAGGACAGATGGAGCTGGGTCATGCTCGCCACCGGCGTCGGGCTGGCATCAGTGACCTGGTCTACTTTGAGAAATCACCAGACTTCTGTGAGAGGGAGCCAGCCTTAGACTCCATGGGTACACAAGGGCGCTTGTGCAACAAGACCAGCCCAGGCATGGACAACTGTGAGAGCTTGTGCTGTGGGCGAGGGCACAACATCCTGCGGCAAACACGCAGCGAGCGCTGCAATTGCAAGTTCCACTGGTGCTGCTTTGTGGCTTGCGAGGAGTGCCGGCTCACCGAGTGGGTCAGCGTCTGCAAGTGATTCTGAGTCCGTTGGATGCTCCAGAGACTCTGCTGTTTGATTTTGCAGCATTACAGGATGGAATCCTGCCATCGGCAGGAGGCACCGTTGGGGGGCCTGGCACATGAGTGTTCCATGTCTCCCTGGCAATTCCATTCCTTCCTGACCATGCATGAGCACTGAGGCTCCAAGGGATCCATCTGTACCTCAGAGGCATAAAAGGCCTTGCACCAGGGACACCGTGGCCTGGCTTCTCATGCTAGGAATGGGACGGCTGGAGTCTCTGAGAATAACTCCAGTGTCTTCTGATCACTGATCTCTGTGGGTTCTTAGGTTTGTGAACCACAAATGATGGTTCCTCAAGCAGAAACTCACACAAGCTCCTTCTGACTCCCTCCCTAGTGACATCTTCCCGTACCGCTATGGGATCATTCAGGTGACAGATAATTCTACAAACTGAAATAACTGCTTTTTTAAAAAATGAAAAGAAAAACTTGGGCTGAGACTGCTCCATTGCCAGTTAAGAGAACTCAGAATACTTTTTGGCCTCCATGAGTACATTTGTTGTTGTTGGGGGGGATTAAAATACAGAGTTTGCTTAAGGAAATGTTTTGAATGAGGGACTGAAGGGTGGGAGTGCAGAGGTTTCTGTCTGTAGTCTCCCATAAAGGTGCCATAGGCACTTAGGGTGGTTACTGTGGTTGGTAAGTTATTTTATTATTGTGAAAATAAAATTGAATCAGAGATGTTGATGCATGTCTAGAATTGTAATGCTGGAAATGTGAGATTTATTGGGTGAAGTGTGGGATGTGGCCCATAACAGTTCATGTTACTTTGGTTCACACGAAACAGCAGAGCGGGCCACAGGGAAGAGTGCGTCATCTGGGGTCCTCTCTAGCTGAAGCTGAGCAGTCAAGCTCCTTCATAAGAGCACTGAAAGATCTGCACATGTTTGTGTTGGGTGGTTCCTAGGGGTGTGTGCAGAAGCACCTCACACTTCACAAAATGGAAGTGATAGTTGTAACTCCAGAAGGCAGCATGAATGGATTTGTGTGTAATGTGTTCTGTCACAACGCCTGTGCCTTCTGAATATGATGACCTTAAGAACATAAGGATGAGATGGTTAGAATATAAGCAAAGGATGAGAGGTTTGGCAGTGTCATAGATGCAACGAACATGAAATTGAGCAAACTTCAGAGGATGGCGGAAGACAGGAAGGCCTGGCATGATCTGGTCCATGGGGTCGCGAAGAGTCGGACTCGACTGTGGGACCGAACAACAACAAAGAACATAAGAATATAAGAGAAGCCAATGTTGGATCAGGCCAATGGCCCATCTAGTCCAATACTCTGTCACACAGTGGTCAAAAATATCAGGTGCCATCAGGAGGTCCAGCAGTGCGGCTAGGACACTAGAAGCCCTCCCACTGTTGCCCCCCCCCCAAGCACCAAGAATACAGAGCATCCCTTGCCCCGGACTAAGAGCCTATCTATACCTTGTGGCTAATAGCCTCTGATGGACCTCTGCTCCATATGTTTATCCAATTCCCTCTTGAAGCCATCCATGCTTGTAGCCGCCATCTCCTGTGGCAGTGAATTCCATGTGTTAATCCCTCTTTGGGTGAAGAAGGACTTCCTTTTACCCATTCTAACCCGACTGCTCAGCAATTTCATGGAGCGCCCATGAGTTCTTGTATTGTTAGAAAGGGAGAAAAATACTTCTTTCTCGACCTTCATTGGCTGCAGTGGAACTGTTGTAATCCTGTCCCAGAATCTGTTACAGGTGACATGGAATGTAGGAGAGAATCCCAACCAGGCCCATAGCCCCAATGGGGCAGCTCGTGGCCATGCCCCCAACTCTTCCTCCATGCCACATAACTTTTCTTTACAGAAAATCATTTTTTTAACAAATTCTTAAAGCCATTTAATTTTTTTAAGGGTTGCAGCTGCTCCTGCCTATGCTGGGCAGGTGGACAGACTTGGCTTCTTGCACAGCCCTGCACCGCCCCGCCTGGAGTGTGGAACAAATACTGGGGGGGGGAGGCAGAGGGAGGACTTCATTTCCTGCCTTCCCCCCACCAGGACCCAGCTGAGTCCAGTGCCCATGGACTGGAGGGCTAGCCAGAGCATGCTGGAACTCAACTTGGCTCCCCATTGGAGGACCTTGCGGGGCTCCCGCCTGGCAAGCCAGGGGCTGAGGGGAGCTGCTTGGGGGCAGAGGGACTGAGAAGGAGCTAGTGGGATGCAGGGGCTGGGCGAGGCCAGGAGGAGGTGGGGAGAGGCTGCATGGGCCGGCCATCCCTGGGCCTTGCCAGGGGCGCAGGGACAAAGTAGAAAGGCCCAGCTTTGGGACCTGGTCCACTCTGGGGCAGTTTGTCTCCAGTTGCATCTCCACAGAGTGGGTTTAGGTCACAGGAAAGGCTGAGGAGGAGGAGCAGACAGAGGTTCCATGCCCAGCCTCTCCTGGGAGCTCAGAGAGAGAGAGAGAAGGAGAGAGAGACAGACCCTGAGTGGCTGGGGCCCCTTCTTGTCAGGCATTGAACATAAGAACATAAGAGAAGCCAACATTGGATCAGGCCAATGGCCCATCCAGTCCAATACTCTGTCACGCAGTGGCCAAAAATACCAGGTGCCATCAGGAGGTCCACCAGTGGGGCCAGCAATACTAGAAGCCCTCCCACTGTTGCCCCCCCCCCAAGCACCAAGAATACAGTGCATCCCTTGCCCCAGAGCCCCTATCTATACCCTGTGGCTAATAGCCACTGATGAATCTCTGCTCCATATGTTTATCTAATTCCCTCTTGAAGCCGTCCATGCTTGTAGCCGCCACCACCTCTTGTGGCAGTGAATTCCATGTGTTAATCACTCTTTGGGTGGAGAAGTGCTTCCTTTTACCCATTCTAAACCGACTGCTCAGCAATTTCATGGAGTGCCCATGAGTTCTTGTATGGTGAGAAAGGGAGAAAAGTACCTCTTTCTCTACCTGCTCTATCCCATGCATAATCTTATAAATCTCGATCATGTCACCCCTCAGTCGTCGTTTCTCCAAGCTAAAGAGCCCCAAGTGCTTTAACCTTTCTTCATAGGGAAAGTGTTCCAACCCTTTTATCATTCGAGTTGCCCTTTTCTGCCCTTTTTCCAATGCTATAATACCCTTTTTGAGGTGTGGTGACCAGAACTGTACACAGTATTCCAAACGAGGTCGCACCATTGATTTATACAGGGGCATTATGATACTGGCTGATTTGTTTTCAGTTCCCTTCCTAATAATCCCCAGCATAGCATTGGTCTTTTTTATTGCAGTCACACACTGTCCTGACATTTTCAGTGAGTTATCTACTACAACTCCAAGATCTCTCTCTTGGTCAGTCTCTGCCAGTTCGGACCCCATCAACGTGTATTTATAGTTAGGATTTTTGGCTCCAGTGTGCATCACTGCACTTGGCCACATTGAACCCCATTTGCCACGTTGATGCCCACTCGCCCATCCCCTTGGAGTGCCTCACAATCCTCCCTGGTTCTCACCACCCTGAACCATTTCATGTCATCCGCAAATGTAGTGGATTGCATCCAGACTCCAAGGAAGTCAGTGTGCATTTCCCGTCCAGTGTCCTTATACGCCATGCCCTCGTGGCACCTGTGGAGAGAGGTGGGAAGACCCAATCCAGAAACTGGACACATATAGCTGAGCTGGCCAACCGCATGGGCATTGTGTTTTTGGGGGAGTACAGCTTGTGAGTTTCTGAGAACGTGAACCAGTCATGCGGTGGTAGAATTTGGAGTCTCCCTTGAGTCTTCTGGAGTGAGTGAGCCATTTTATTATTGTATTTTTTTCATTTTGTGATGTCACACCCCACCAGTTCCCCCAGTGCCCCTTCCCAGTGAAAAACTCCTGGCCATGGGCCTGATGCCAACAATCTGATTAAGATTAGGATGATGGGAGCAACATCAAAGTTTACAGTGGAAGGGGCAAGACTTCCACTATATGAATGAGGAAGACACTGCAATGCCACAGAGGCATCCCTTTCCAAGGAAATAAAGATCCAAGGAGATTGGCCCTCCTGCCTTCTAGTTAATGGTAAGAATAGTCAATACCGCTTACTGTGGCCAACTGAGAATCCCCCACCAAATGTGCACAGTGTGTGCAGCGTCTCTGTGTTGGGGAGTGCCGCTGTCATGGGAAATCAGCCACTGTATCCTAAGGAGCATTAGTTGCCTCCCGTGCCCTGCATGGGCTGGGTGCTGATGAATCACCCTATTGGTATCTGGTGCTGTCTGATAAATCCCCACCCTGCCTATAATTTTGACCCTGAGGCTATGCAAAAGGAGCAGCAGACGGGAAGAAAAAGAGTGGGCAGGGTGCACAGGCCTAACCAGGGAGGCACAGCCGTGTTTCATAAGGCTCCAAGGTGCTGCAGGTCGTGGGCGGGTGGTATCTCCGTGTCACCAGTACACATTCGGGAGAAGTCAGCTTCTTGATTTACAGGCAGCCAAGAGCTGGGGAGGTGTCATCACCCAGAAGGCCTTTCTCTCTATGGAAGGGCCTAGATTGACGTGTGGGGGAAAGCCCCAACCACCGCTTCAGCTTTGGCACCTCTGCAAAGATAACAAACAGCAAAAGCATCTATAGAAATGGGGCTTCCTACAGCCAACCAGACTGTACTGGACTTGTGAAAGAAGGTATAACAATACATATAAGAAGGGTTCTTTTTTCCCCCTTGCCCAAAGTCCTGAGCCTTTTGTGTTATTTGACAGCCTGAAGTTCTACACATGACTGTTTTTCCTTCACTACATCTTAGGGCTGGAGAGATCTATGACTGTTGGATTTCTGGCAGAGTACCCAGTTAAGAGAGAAAGTGTCTGCCTCAATATGGTAAGGGAAAGGTGACTGCCCTTTTCATAGGTTCGCTCCCCTCATACCTTTACAATGTAGAATCAGCCTTCAGTCCCAGAGCCACCTTGGATCCCTCCACATGCCAGCAGCATCCTCCACACTCAGCCAACCCGTTATGGGATGGGGGAAGGGGGAGCATGTGCTTGCACTTGGGGGGGGGGGAGGAATTATCCTTTCACATCAATCACACCTCAACCCTTTGAACTCCGTGTCTGTTCACAAGCTCAAAGCAAGGGGGTTTGCCTGGAAGTGTGTGATCTCACTGGGCTGCCACAGAAGATAATGCACACTCCCCAAACAGCCCTGCCCCTAGCTCTAGCTATTAATCCCTCGGCACTTACCCCCTGCAACAGCTGCACAGAGCTCACCTGGCCAGCAGGGAAGTGGCAGAAACCCCCACTCCCCATGGGCACATGTACCGTCCTACAGTCAATATTGTGATACTTCCCTCTCTATGATGCACTGTCAGGAAAACCACTGTACAAGGTCACTTACCTGTTCTCCTGCTGCCCCTCTGCCCATATATGCCTTCTTCAAAGACCCTTGATCTTTTTTGTGATACAAATGACATGTTCACAGCTTTGAAGAGGGAGAACCTTTGAGTACGAAATTATTTTAGCAGGAGGAGCCTACCCTTATCCACAGATTATTCCATAATCTCCCATGGAATAGCAGCAGGGCCATATTCTGGCATGGAATCCGGTGGAAAGTGAACTGTATGCTCTCTCCCCAGTTCATCAAGGATAGGGATGCCAACTGTCTGGATTTTTTTTTAAAGATGTCCTATTCCTTTAATAGAAGCCTAATGGGATGTCAGTTATCTCTATGCCGTGAAAACTTTCAGCT